TTCTTCAGTCTAGTTGTGGAGGATGTCGCTTCACTGGCCCATGTTGGTATTATCATTGCGCTCTTCTCGGCTGAGGCGGATCTATCACCGGTCACTGAATGGCCGCTCACGGCGGCTCATGGCAGCTCACGCTGGCTGCCAGCCCCTCACAGTAGCTTATGGCAGCCCACTGCAGCAGGGGCTGCAGCCTACGCCATCACCAGCCACTCATGGCAGCCCAGCTCCAGGTTGAGCTGTTGTTCACTATCCTAGCTGTAGGGGGCACAGTGTCACTGGCCCTAATGTGGAATCTGAACCGGGGCCCTGCTGCTCAGAGCTGGCGTCCCAAGCCAACTCTTAACCAATCCGCCACTCGGCCGGCCCCATAGCCACTGTTAATTCACTCTAACCTATTCTCCATCTAGTACTAGAGTGACACTTTCAAATCACAAAACCATATCACTTCCCCTTTAGTACCTTTTAATAGCTTGTCATTGGTTTTAGAATTAAATCTAAAAGCCTTAGCCTGGCCTACCTGATCTGACTCCTATATACCTTTTCAGATAAATGTCATTTGACTTTTCTCCATGTTCAGTATTCTGCATCTGGTCTTTTTCTGTTCCTAGAACCCACCCAGTTCTTCCACAACTTAGGACATTTGCATTGAGCTTCTTATCCCTAAGCCTGGATAACTCCTATTTATCTTTCAGGTCACAGCTTAGATTTCACTTCCTCAAGCTACCTTCCATGAGTATGTTAGGTTCCCATTTTATATACCATTTACCTCAAATACAAATTAAATGATTATTTGTTTAATGCTTATCACCTTTATTATACTATAAGCTGCAAAGCTGTGTATTTCATCACTGTGTTACCTGTACCTAGTCTGACACAGAGTTGGTGCTCAGGAAATGCTTATTGAATGAACATAGTTCTTCCCACAGTTTTTCCCCCAAGATGCTCAGTCAAGAAAAGAAAACTAGAAATTTGCATTTCTGTGTGATTATGTTACACAAAAATATTCTATGGCTGGGTCCCAGTGTGTGGTGATATTAAAATAAATATTTATACCTCAAATAAATTTTCATTAAATTTATCAAATAATAAGAAAGTATGTCTTACACACTTATTATGCTCTCACAACTTCATAAAACAGCTTGAGGAATAAGGGGAAATAAATAAGAGCTGTCCTATTCAAAGGTAGCTTTTGGAAACAGCATTAAAAAGAAAACAATTTTTATTTACGGTCAAGATAGTAGAGTAGGTAAACTCTGTGCTTGCATCCTCTCATAACCACATCAAAATTAGAACTAAACTCCATCATTGAAGTCTAGCTGAACAGACTAGAAGGAGGGATAGAGACATAGAATGGGCTGGTTCCACACCCAGGTGTGACAGTTAAAACTCAGGAGGGCTATCTTGTCTGTGGGGGTTTCCCTGCATCTCCCAGAGGAGCAAGAGGTCCCAACCTCACACTACATTCCCCAGCCCAGAGTTCCAGTGCCAGGGAGAGAAGTCCCCATAACTTCTGGTTGTGAAAACCAGCAAGATGGGGGCTGA